TTTGAGAAAAAAGTTTTAAAGGAAGAAATAATTACTGAAACTAATAGAGCAATTGATGTATTAGATTATATTAAGAGAATAAATTGTTGTTTTGCCAATGCAAAGTTTACTTATTAAGTATTATTGACTATTATTGTCACCATTGCCTCCGCCAAAAGAAGTTCTTTAAAGTTGAAGTTGATTAAATCTTATTTTCTATTAACCACGTCACAAAAGATTGAATTGATTAGCAATGATTTATATCAAAAATATGTTGGTAAAACTTGAATTTTGCAGTTTGATTACTAATTTTGTAATTTGCATTGCAAAACGTGAGAGGACTAAATATTATGCTAGTCTAATTTTTCGAGTTGCAAGAGATATTTTATTTTGATACCTTTTGAATAGTACGAAGTCATTGTTTAGATAAAACATGTTATTAATTTACATATTTTAGTATTACTACACTTTTTTTTTTAAAAAAAAAAAAGAAAGAAAGAAAAAATTATGATTATTGACCTCATAGTAATTTATTACCTAACGCTTCAAAATTTTCAAATCCGTGACTCATTCAAACATAATATGTATAAACTTGAAAGTCATAATCAAACAATTATATATTAAGAAGAAACGCGTTGCTTTAGCTTGTCCTTCTTAAGCTCCACATATATATTATTCAAATCAACTTAGTCATACACGCATCAAATACACACTTCATGTTAGTTTTTTCTTTCTTTTTGCCCCTTGTCAAAAGTCACAAGTTTTGACACAAGAAAAGTGTATTCCACAATGGTATATGGGAAATTTGTTGAGTTGATTCCCAACTTATTGACCCGAGTAGAAAATTGGTTCTTAACTTTAAAATAGGAGTAAGTTGGTCATCAACATTCTATTATAGTTATACAGTCAGTCTCCAACGATGAAAACCATCAAAAATTGTTTAGACATTACTTTGGTGCATCTTATTCAAACTAGTAGTAAATGCTATTTTTAACGTCTATTAAGTTTTAGTGTAATTGATCCTTGCATATTTAACTTTACTGTATCGATTTTATTTCTTAACTTGAATAGATGGTGAGAATACTTGAAGTGGAGTGCATTCCCATAAAGGTCACATGACGATTTATACTGAAAATTTAGACGTTTTTCGTCATTCGAGACTGATTTGCAACTTTATAATGATAAGTTGAAGAATTTATTTTTAAAAGTTAATTACCAACTATATTACTTGAAAAATAAATTGAGAGTCAATGGTGTGATTTTCTTGAGTGTATGATAGGAAGGCAAAAGATATCACCACCAAATAATGTTTTGTGTTGAAATATTTTAGATTTTTTTGTCAGTAGCCAGTCTTTGTCACGCAAGAAAATATATGCTGTCAAGTCTACATTAGAAATAGTTTTGAATATAAATGTGAAAATATGTAGCAACTTTTGACTAAAATATTTTGGATGAACTAATGGCCAATTTTCGGTTTAGATTTTAAGTGTGAATATACAAAGAATCGTCGATAGAAAAAGGTTGCATTCTCATTAGAATAGTTAAAATAGGAGATATATGTCAAAATTAATACTGTGTAGTGTCACTAGTGTGGATAGAAATTGCTTTTATTGTATTGAAGTTTTTGATAGAAGAAGCTTTAGATTTCGAGTGATGAAAATGTATTTAAATTGATAAATCGACTTTAATTATTGTAAAAATGCTACTTTGTTTATAGTTACTATATGCTACAAAGTGACATATCCTTGAATTCAAATTATCAGTATATTTTACACACATTTACCAAAAAAACAATTTTAAAATGAAGCATTGATTTTATTTGTCATCATCTCTAAATTCTCAAAATAATGAGTCCTCCACCAATCTGGCCATTGACAATGCTTATATTTTTAGTACATACTGGGTGGATTGACAGACTTTATATACTAAATAATATTAAAGAAATAATATTTAAATTTTTGGTCAATTTTATATGCTCAAGAGACCTATAGTCTTTATATATATATATATATATATATATAATCATGTTTCCTACCATAATGCTGCATTATAAAGATCACCAAGAGGTCGGTCATGTGATAATATGCTTAAAAAGCTCCTACAATTCTTGGTGGTGTCAAAATTCATAAAAGCAATATATAGAAATAGTAAATGCCTCAATTTACCTAAAAGAAATATCTTTTTGCCCACCCAAATCCATTATTATGGTAGATAAGAATTTATATATTATGAGTGCATTGTGTTGAGGAAAAAAAAAATTCAAGTGTGTTCCTAGTCAGTGAGAATACTATATTAGCTTTTAATGCCATAGTGGAATTTTAACCAATTTTTTGAGAAATTGACAATCCAAGAATATAAGTAATTAAACATATACACATGGACTAAAAAAATTAGACGTGTCCATTACAAGATTGGGAAAGATATTCCCCTTTTTTTCTTCTCTAGTTATTTATAAGTGAAAAAAAAAATCGCTCTTTTTTATGATGGAAATTATCTAACTATTTACATATATATTGTGAAAAAGTATTTTATGAGCTTCAATCGACCAATCAACTACACAAATAAGAACTAATCGAATACAATATTTTCAAGACGACAATACTCTCAAAAGTCATCTTAATAGCAATCAAATAGATCAAGCAGGCCCTAGAAGTTTTCTAGGTAAAGATTAAGCATAGTAACAACTAAAGGATATTCAACCATAATAATTTCCTCGAAAGCCCGTAATATCTCTTTGTCTAAGTCAAAATCGTCTATATCGGGAATTTAACTTTCAAGGTATGATTGCCACGTACAATCAATATTCTACAAAACAAAAGAATTCCAAGTACATTTTTCCCGCACTAATCAAGCATAAATTAACTGAAATTTCAAAGTACATTAGCATTGTATTTTGACATTTGCAACCAAATCCTTATTAAATTAATCTAATTTGATCGTTGGAGTAAGTGATGCACCAAGCAATGAAATGGAAGAGACACTTGGTACTTATAGATTCTTAGCATTTAAGTCTTCTTGTTAATAATATTAAAGAGAACCCATAAATCTGTTTTAAAATTCTCTTGGAAGCAATATGTTTTCTATAATTGAGACTATATTGACAAGATTTATCAATTAAAATTACCCACAGACTCATTACAATTTAATGACCTATCAATTAAAATCTAAAAATGCGAAAAATAATCTATATATCAGACAAATAATTTGAATCACTATATTAATTGTTCCTATCGAATACTGAGTATATTTTTACGGTATATTTTGACAAGTTTATAGATAACATATTGTTAGTAATATACGACTATCACTAATCGCCAACCACAATCATCACTCATAAGGATTGTCATTTGCCAAGCACCATCTCAACTAGCTATATATAATTGATCTCCTAAGTATCGATGCTTAGTATGACATGGTATACTACAATAGGCAATGTAATCAGTTTTATAACCAATTATTATCTCTCACCATCTATTGTAGTGTTCCATACCATCACGAGACTTAGCATAAATTATGCACTAGTGTTTAGTATATCGGTCTTCTATGTATCTTATATTAAGCACTGATGACTTGTCATATAAATTCATCGGTAAATAAACTTATGATGGGCTCGGTATTTGAATCGAGTTTAAAATGTTATATAATAATTAGAAACAAAAATTAGGTATTAAACTGGTTGATTTTTGGATGAACTGTTCGAGTCTGGGTGAATGAGTAGGTTTTAAATGTTGAACACGCGAGTTAATTAGTACAATCGAATTCAAAACTTGAATAATATCCTTGATGCATTTTCATTTTTGTTACCGATTAAAGCTTCTACTATTACTTCATACTCCTCCTGTCTCATTTATATAAGTTTGTTTTATTTTTCACATAGATTAAAAATAGGATTTAATGTCATTGACAAAGCAATTTTCGTTAAAAACTTTTATAATTTACCCCTATTTATATTTGTACAATTTCAAGATTAAATGAGGGAAATTGATTATTATTAAGCAAATTAAGTAAAGTATACTAGTAAACGAATAAAACAAAACATTATCAATAAAGAAACCATACTATATAATTGAGACACAAAAATAAGAAAAGACAACTTATATAAATGGAACGGAAATATTATAATCACCAATTTGTGTGTATTTTAATATAATGAATGTGAGAACTGAAACCCATAATATAAAGATTATTGTAAATCCAGTTTGACTTCACCAGAATCCATGCAAGAATTTGATGCACACAATGTTTCAATAATTCAACCAATGGCCCCACACGTATCCGATTCAAACTTCCAAACCCTTACCTTACGTAATTAAACTAATAAGTAAATCAAACTCTGTCTTTTCTGTATATGTATTTTTACCAATGGTCGACAAGTTACTTAATAATAAGTTAAGAATTTATTGAGCTGGTTTCCCAACCGTTATAAATTTAAATTAGTACTCAACTTTTCATAATAGTTGCAAAATCACACCTAACGATCGAAATTATTCAAATTCTAATTATATAGTCCTTACACGACCGAAATTTTGAAGTTAGGTTCTTTCCGCCAAATTTTATTGGCACCTAAAATTTTGATGTTTAAAGTGTTTAAATTAGAATCACGTGATTATTAAGCCCATGTTTGATGTAGATTAAAACCAGACTTTTCGTAGATTTTAATAAAAATTAAAGAAATGTATACTTGAAAAGTCAAAGATCTTCTGAAATGTGTGATTAAAATTAATAATCGATTTTGACTTAAGATTAAAATTATGTTTTAATCTATACCAAATAGTGGCTAAATGAAGATTTGAACAATATTTGTATTTTGAATTAATTGTTCAATTATTATTTATTAGAATGAAAAGGTGAGAATGAACTTGTTTGTTCTCAAAGAGTGAAGATCAACTTGTTACTCGAATGATATGCTGGGACTTATAATGCAATTTTCGCAATTAGGAAGTACCAAAACGACGTCACTTAATCCTCCAACCCCACCACCTTTAAGTCTCCCTTATAAAATCCTCCGGTTCCTCTCTCAAATGAACATGAACAAAGAAAAAAAGAATAAAAAGAGATCCATAGGAAAAAATGGTGAGAGAAAAGAGGAGAGAAAATTTGTGCGTTACCGTGCCGACCTTGTTCCGGTGCCCGATTTCAATGGACGTGATGAAATCTCCGGTGAGTCTATGCACTGGCGTCACATACGATCGCAGCTCCATTGAAAAGTGGCTTTCTCTAGGACACAACACCTGCCCCGCCACCATGCAAACCCTGCTCTCCACGCACACCACCCCCAACCTCACCCTTCGCCGCCTCATTCACCATTGGCTCTTGCATCCTGACATGTCTCCCTCGCCACCTCTGCCGCTCCCGCCGGCGACTTCCAAACGACAAGTTAGGGAAATCATCAACGGTTCAGTAAGCTGCGATTCTCTATCGAAAATTGTTGATTTTATGAAGGCTTCAGAGGAGAATTTGAAGTTTATTGCGTTTTCCGATGATGCCGTTTCTAAATTTGTTGAATTTTTCGGAAATTGTAAAGAAATTGAGGTTTGTGAACTGATTGTTGAACTTCTGGATTTGATTTTATCGGAAAATGGAGCGAAAGAGAAATTGAATAGCTTGATTTTGAAGAGCAATAAAGATAGTTTATCGTCATTCCTTTTGGTGCTACGGGAAGGAAGCGTGAAATCGAAGATTAAATCGGCGAGGATTTTGGAATTAATCGCTCTTAATTCCGAGTCTCAACGTAAGATCGCAGAAAATGGAGGGATATTGTACGAACTGTATAGTTTGATCGCCGTGGAAAAAGACCGGCTTGCAATCCAAGCCGGTTTGTCAGCTTTATTAGCTATTTCAACTTCGAGACCGGTTCGGAAGGAGTTAATCCTGTTCGGGATCGTAAAAACAGTTGGGGAAATTCTCTCCAATACGAATACAGTTCGTGCAGTTATTGAGAAGGCTCTAGGAATCCTGGAAATGGTTGCCACGTGTACGGAGGGGAGGGAGGCGATTAGTGAAGACGAGAAATGTGTGGTAGAGATCGTAAGGAGGCTGATGAAATGCTCCAATGTAGCGACGGAGCACGGTATTACGGTGATCTGGAGCGTGTGCTACTTGGCCCGTGATCGGACAGCTCAGGAGAAGGTAATGAAAGTCAATGGATTGACAAAGGTACTACTGGTAATGCAGAGTGATTGCTCAGTGAGTACAAGACAGATGTGCAGGGAACTAGTCAAAGTTTTGAGGGTGAAGAATTCGAAGTCTTGTTTGGCAAGTTATGAGACTAAGACAACTCACATTATGCCTTACTGAATTAACTAACAATTTTCTGAATTATTTTTCAATTTTTTGGAGACATGGTTGGGTTAGGTAGCCAAAGACCTAATGTTGTAAATCAAAAGGGAACACGAATTTTGACATGGAAGACACACATACAAATGAAAATTTTCATTTTCTCAACATTATTATTGAATTTCGATGTTGTTATAGTTTTTCAAATTGGAGTAGTTAGACATTTTTCTTCTGAGAAAGACGTCACGCAAAACTATTATATAGCATCTTATAAGCTATTAATTCGGAGACTTATGAAACGCATTTGAACATACAATTATTCGAGACAAAGGTGTCTAACATCCATGTTCTTAATACGTTTCAGGCCGGCCATAGAGTCCAACCGTGTCGAACTAGTTTCATTGTTTCATACATTTTATATTAGATCCTAAAGTTGTCAAATGTAAAATATATTTGTTTATGTTAAACAAGATAGTACTATACAAGATTAAATAAAAAAATAATTCTAAACTATTCTATACACATTTTTTTTATTGAATATCAAGCGTAGGTAAGAAAACAACTAGCAATTGGACAAATTAAAATATGTACGATTGCACTTAAAACTGAAAATAAAATGTTTGAATTGGTCAGAAATGGCTTCCTTTGAACGAGTCCTTCCTCTATAGTTAGTTTATGCCTAAGTCAAAATATTTGAGCCGGCCAGGTTTCTCATTTTTCTCATTTTATAATTATATATTGGGACCTTTGACTGACGAATATGGCCGGTCGACAAAATACAGTAAAGTAATCAACATGCAAAAATTATTGTTAATCCGATAAAGATAGCAACTTTCCAGCAGCATGCAAAAATTGCATTTTTGACATTCTAAAAATAAAAGCTTACAGTGTTCACTTTAAAAAACATTACTTGCACATGCCAAATCATCTAGCAAAAGAAGTGTTTCAGCCCAAAAGGGATATGGATAAAAGATGAAGTTGACATTGTAGACTACATCAACACATTTTCTTTTTAATACAGCTAGAAACGAATGGAGGCACCGTTGCGTAATTGTGAAGTAATTTGGTTGAAACGTAGAGATAACGTACCAAAATTATGGCTAAAAATTTATCAAGAACGAAAGCCATCTTATGATGACCGCTCGTATGGACCTGAACGATAATGATTTTACTTATAATTTCTTCGTCCTCTACGGCTATCAGAGTCCCTGCTCCGTCCACCATTACGATCGGGACCGTAGCGACCAACCACCACATCCATATCTATCACCTCCTCCACTTTGCCCTTCTCCGGAAGGACATTCCCTAGCAAAATGCCCCGAGCTTTCCACATGTGAAGCAGTCTCCACTAGATCCACGCCCACCCCCATGGTCACAATTTCTCTCCCAATCAGGTCACGGTCTTGGTCCTAATCCCGATCCCGATCCCGATCTTGATCTCTACTAGAATTGGGTTTAGTTTTCATGTTTGAAAAGTGTTTATAAACGTTTAAATTATAAATTATAAATAAATAGAAATCAATAGTACTGGTGAGTGTGTTTAAGGATCCATCAAAATATATGGATAAAAAGTGTTTTAAGTTTTTATAAATATTAGCCAAACATAGGTAAATATCATTCCAACCCAATATTTGAAAAAGCACAAGGCATGATAAAGCGGTAAGGTCAAGTTTTAAGCCTTATGAACTAGGTGTGCTTGTGCAAAGCTTAGATGTAAATAGATATGTTGGGTTTTTTAATACCCAATAATCCCGGGCAATGATGTAAAATTGATGTTGGATAAATTAATTATTGACATCCAAGATTGAGAACCCGACCGTAAAACTACGTGGACCATTTGAATCAACCTAATTAATTAGTACTACTCATGGCCCGGCTTCTACATTCATTGGACGGCTTATATACGTTGGCCCACTTAAGTTCATTGTATTGGACTTGGCCCACACTTTGACCTAACCTAACCTATATATACTAGCCTCCTTGAAACGTGTGTTTTTGCCTTTGTCTTGGAAGAAGAAACTCTCAGCCTCTTTCTCTCTCGGCTGATTTTCTTCCTTCTCTTCATAGACTTTGTGGCTTCACCTTTGTAGCTGAAAAACTCCGTCCCTTTTGTGTCCTTAGTGGGTACAAATTAAAGCAACCGGAGTGTGGAAGGAAGTTGGAGGTTTGGGACGTGATTTTCTTGGTTGTTGTAAGGTTGAGATTGGTATACTAAGCCCGAAAAATTCACCAATTGGAAGTCGATTCTTCAACAAAATATTTTCTTATTTTCAACATTATTTTAAATATTTTAAAACCATTGAATAAATGAAATAATGCAAACCAATCAACTAAAAATCCGATTGTAATCCCTTCAAACAGTGTAGATGTTAAGTGAATATGACTTAAAATTTGTTTATTTCATTGTCAGGAGTAGATAAATTAAGGTGAAAGGTTGTTGTGTAATTAGTGATCTTGATTTTCTGTCTTTGATTCATTGTTCTGAGCATTATTGAATCAACGTTTTATTGAAATTATCCTAAATTGGGACTTTATAGCTTGAGGTGTCTTATGGATTTGATCCTCTAAGATATGATGCCAAATTCACCTAAGAAGCCTCAATTACATATATTTTGAGCTATGAAATATTTGTGACTACCAAATTTCGTATGTGACTTCACTTCTCGTGCTTCAAGCTAATTGCAATTGCTTATTACATGAATGTGATAAAAAATAAAAAGGTGACATTTAATTTGAAGCTATGGATCTAAATTTTGATGACTGCATCGTGAATGTTTCATTTAATCGAAGCATGTATAGTTGAACTGTGACCTCTATTCATCCATAAACTTTTCAATCAAATTTATGTTATGTTAAGATTTACTAACAATAGCTGCTGTGAAAACAAATATGATATAGAATTAATCCAATACCAATTTACTGGAGAAAATAACATATTATAGTCACAATATGAAGTAATTAATCACAAGAACACAAGAGTAATGTATTTTGTAGAGAATAGAGATTATATTATAATATAGAGAAAGAATATAAAGATTTTAACTTTACTAAAATCATAATGAAGAGCGAACTATATATACGGAACAGATAGGGGACATTCAAACCATAATAGTAGAGTTGTACTTGAAGTAGAATGCAAGAAATGAAGTCCAAAACGGAATAGAGGAGGAAAAATCGTGCAAAAGGCGAAACAGACAAGTGGTGTCGAGGAGCCTACTTTCGGGTTCTTTACTTCAAAATCTTGATTTTCTTCATCACAATGTCCTCTTTGAGTCCAACACAAATTCTAACTTTCAATTGGGCTTCCAAGTAGAACTTCAACTTAAATTTGCCAAGTAAACTTGAATAGGGTTCAACAATAGCATTCCAAATAGAATTTTTCTTAATGTGCACTATACTTAGAACTCACAATTATCTTCAACAAAAAATTCGGGTCATAGCCAAATTTTAGCAAGTTCCACCTTGATATGAATTTCATTGCAATGAACAAAACTTCAAAGAATTCTCCACCTGGAGGCAAATTCCATTGCAAGGAATAAACTTGAAATTTTCAATAAAAAATACAAAAGAACTTCTCCATAAAAAAATTTCAACTGAAAGTATTCTGTACCTTTGCTATCCTAACAAGGGCAAAAGTGATCTAATGATCACCAAGCAAGGCTGAAATAAGCCCTATAATAGAATCACAACTAAATGAATCAAAAGAAGGATCTTGACTAGAATCAATGCCTTTAACCACATTCAAACTATCAACTAAATCAATAGAATTGTACCTATGTGAAGTCTTATGGTAAAAAATGGGCCTATTACTAGCAATTGAATGCAATGATACTGTTGATGATGGTGGCAAGGCAGATTTATCCATAATCTCTAAATTAAACTAAGATGTATTCTTTAAAGAAAATCTCAAATTAGACTCCAACGGTACAAAATCCAACTCCAAAACCACTTGATTATTAAAGTATGATGATTAATCAAAGATTTTGTATAATACTGCAAGACATATAAATAGGATTTTCTCCGTCCCTTTAACAAAACACAAGCTTCTTTACTAACCTTTTGGACTGCGCCTTCAACAGTACACATACCATTTTGAGTCAAAAGTACTTAAGGAGATAAGATTTCTCTTTAGATCTAGATCGTGTCTCACTGCATCAAGTGTTCTAACTGTCCTATCAAATATCTTATGAGCTGTTTTACAACCTGACCTTTAGAAGCGTCAGCGGGACATGGGATATTTTGAATCGACTAATACCAACTATTCGAAAATGTGTATTATTACCGATCATCACAACACCTTTTGAAACTTCTTCATATGTTGAAAACAATTTCTGATTAGGAGGCTTATGAAAAGTGCAAATTGTATCAAAAGTTTAAGTCTCGTTAGGTTTGGATTTGTAGTTAGTAAAAGCTCTCTATCACTGTTAGAATTTTCTGCAATACATGATTCTCTTGAAGTTTATTATTGTTATTTTGTAGTCAATTTTGATTTATTCTGCAACATATAATAATTGTTTATTAAATGTCTATTTTTCTTGCAATAATTACAAATTTTGAAGTTAGATTTTGACTTGCCTCTTACACGACCACCATCAACAATGAAGCCAACTCCATGACTCTCAGATACTACAAGATGCTTCATCTTCTCCTTTACATATAAAGTATCATAGACTTCTTCGATGGTGAGAGTATTAAGACTATATAAAATCCTGTCTCTAAATGACGTGTGAAGCTAGCAATGAACACAATAAAATCAATCTCAACTCTTCTTCATCATATTTGACCTCAAGGTCTCCAAATCAACGATAATTTTTTTAAAATGGTTAGGTGATTCTCAAGAGATGTTTTTTCTGTCATATGATGAGAATATAGACGTTGTTTCAGATGCAATTTACTAATATGATTCTTTGTTATGCATAATTGCTCTAATTTTAACATAATATAGTTGATGACTTCTCCTTCAAAACATCCTGAAGAATATAATTTGAAAAATGAAGATGTATTTGAGATAAGGTTTTTCGACCCCTTCGTTATTTCTCCTCCAGAGTTCAAGTTGTGGGTATTTTGTCAAATTTCAACAACGCATCATCCACATTCATTAGAGCAAGTACATTCTGCATCTTTATGTTGTATTGCTATCTAATAGCAAAATATCATACTTCATAGTTGCCATGACAAAAAACC